CTAATTGGCGGAAAAAACACTGAACGTAATTTGGACGCTTATTCTTTTATCAAAATAAATTAACTCGTCGGAAACTCAACGTATTCTCTTGGTTTTTAGGCCACCGATGTGCTATCTAGGCATTGATCGAAAAGGCCGGGGATTTATGAAATCCTAAACTACCTATGGAAATTCACTAGAACCTTAGAGCGAGACAAAATCCTGCATCACTTTGTCTGAAATCATTTAGTGATATTCGACAAGCAAAAACTGATTTCAACAAAAACGAAATACTAACAGGTCAATAAAATGCAATGGGCATTACATTCACATCATAGAACGTGCATATAAAACATCTTTTACAAAAACACTTTCGTCAATTTAGTATTATCCATGATGATAACTGACATGTTGAAATAGTGATTGAATCAAAACACATATAGAATTCTCTACAGTCCTCGAGTTGTGTCAAATGAGATAGATAAGAAAATACTTTCTTATCGCCAACGCCACGTTAACTATCGCTGGTTACCGCTGCTGCGAAAATGATGCGAAAAATAGGATTGGAATGCACTACTATAATTATAAGACGTTGACAATAATAAAAAACTGATTCAATCATTTTTTCACTATTTACATTTTGATATTACTGCTGAAAATAGCTTTTTGAATGTGTGAGTTGAATTAAAGATTACGGTGTATTGGATTTCTGCATTGAAGAATCTCACAAAATATTCAGGTCGTTTGAAGCTTCGTGTATTGAGCCAATATAAAAGAGAAAATTGCAGCAGAAGAAATCGCCCGGATTATCTCAAACCGGGAAACTAGGGAAATTTGTCCTTACAGTCGTTTTTTGGATCGTAAAATTTACATGGGATTACCTATCCGACTCTTTTTAGAATTTCTAGGGCCTCGATGTACGTTTACGTAGCAAGCAGCTAAAGTGAGATTCGAAGCTAATAAGAAAAATTGTTTGGTTGTAGGTGAGCAGTTTTAATGTGATCCTGAACTTCTATACGAAAAAGTGACGAACAACTACTAAGAGTCGGATGTTGAGATGAGGTATTTGTGTGTTGCATCCACTATTGTATATTATCATACCTCATTACTACATTGTAATGATGTCATAGTGGTCTCTTATATTTAGAGACTTACTTTTTAGCGTGCTAGGCTGGGTAAAGCCCCCGTAATAGCTGAGACACACTCAGTTTCATGCTGGAAGCCAGCCGTCTCGTGGTATGCCTAATGGCGATACCGGATTATAAAACTCGAAATACAGAAGCTAGCTAAGGTCTTCGGACCTGACTAAGGAAACTAACGAGAGTATCTTTAAATTAAGGCTATGACAAGTCATATAAAATGAAGGATTTTTCCTTGTGAGGATGAAACTTTTTTATGTACCTGAGGAAAGTGTTGCATACCCTCTCATGCGTCAAGCATATAAAGGAAACGATATCCGATATTTGGTAACTTATTTGGAAATACATCTGCGATAGGACCGCGCTGTTGTCTGCGGCAAGCATACTTATCAAAAGCATACAGCTTTCTAATATCGTCCTTTACGCGTGTCCCATTTTGCATTCGGCTTTGTACGATTTATAGTGAACCCTAAATTCTTTCATTTATTTAACCTAATCTACCAAAGATTGTAGCTTAATTACGTCCATGGCTAAATCTATGTCTCGCTTTATCTTAGTTCGCCATTTGGGTCACATCTACTTTTCAGTCTATACAATAATTCATTTCTTCTTCTTGCTATTGTAATTATAGAGAGCAGCATTAGCCGTTCTTTCTTCTTTATCGTTATAAAGGCGTATCTTTGTGCCGTCCCGTTGATACACATTACATATGCTGGATTGACGACATTAATAGAGATGTTTTTTATAATTCTGATGTTGTTGGCATCGATGTTATGTACACGAATACGAACAACAACAACAACAACAACGACATCATCATCATCATCATCATCATCAACAACAGATTTGTCTCTGTTGTTATTGATGTTGCTGTTGCGGCTAGCATGGAGCATTTTTGTGCATTCAGAGTTAGCTGTCTTCGTTGAATCTTGTTATATGGCATAGTAAAGCACGGAAGAGACACAAAGCTCAAATCTGCAGAAGAAATGATCCCTGCTTGTCGTTTCTGCCAAGTAGTCATTTTTTATCTCAAAATAATTTTCACCATGTATGCAACACGTCGGCACTGTTGTCCTATGTGATGCTCTGCTTTATCTTGTATGTGTTCACGCTTGCGATAATAATATATTCCCATAAGAAAAAAATGTCAGGTGGATCTGTATTTTCTAAGGACGCAAATTCTGCATAGCGAAACCGCTACACGGTAATACGCGATATAACGGCACTAGTTAGCCCTCTAGAATTTTAGTTTTCTATATGGAACGCTAGCAATAAATAAATAAATGTTTATAACAACAACAAAAGACTGACCTATAATCAAGCTATTAACATTGTCGCCAAGCTACGCTTTCTATAGCCTTAACGATTTCAGGCGCATCACTCTAGAGTTAAGTTTTCCGTGAGCGAGATTCACATTGACAGTGGTACAGTTCGATACGCCGGATAAAAGGATTGAAAAAAGTCAAACTTTTTTAAAGGTAGACTATCGCATCACATGACTAGTGCTTTAAGCAGCAAAATAATAATGATAACGAAATTTATATGAATCAGCTCTAAACAACATGTGACGGTTCTAGAAAATTCAGGCAACCGCGGTACATGATATGTATAGACAAAGGAATCTAATAATATAACTCACAAGATAAATTCAATTCTTTAACGCTTACGATTGAAATGATGAATAATTGATGCTCACCTCCACCCAACGTGGACATTTCACCTCAGGCAAATGCTTTGCGCATTTTAGTTGGGTCGTGTTCTGCCACAGCCACTGTTATCGCCAATAATTATAACCAAACGCAGAAAAAGCTGGAAAAGAATCGCGCTGGTCGTCGTCGTCTCCTTGATCCTTCATTCCTACAACGTAATCAGACAGATTAACAGAGAGTATAAAATGTATTATACTTTTGCGCAGTGAACAAATAAAGAACCACAAGGAGTTGATCGATTTCAGGTAGATTCGAATGGGAAAATTGCTAAGACCTGTAGTTGGTGAAGTTGACGATGGGAAAGCAGCAGTAGTTTTTTAGGCTACAGCATAAGAGTAAATGTAAACTTAGTAATCGCTGAGACGGGTATTGTGGGGTTGTGTGGATACTCGATTCGTTTTGCGCCGCCGAGGTACCAGGTAGACCCCTTGATTTTGATACGCACGTTGTCCTATCACGAGTTGACTTCTCCCCAATGTTTCTATCAAATTAGTCTCTACGGTGAGTTCCAGCCCATGCTCCTCCATCTGTACGCTTATTTGAGACAGAGCCTGTTGCGCCCTTTCTTTCAGCGTGTCATTGTCGTTTAGTGGTGACTAGCAAAGGTATGTCGTTGCTTACATAATGGATTGGATTTTTTTGGTCTTGTCGAGAATGAAGACGTCGTTGTACGTCATATTCTAGAATAGGAGTCTGAAGACAGATACTATGGCAGTCATCGCGAGTGTCGTGTCCCCGTGCAAGAGTGCTCTAGCGGTGAGATAGAGGCGAACACTCGTGGGGGTACAAAGAGATTCCTTTTGCGCCCATGTTGTTAATGATGTCCTACTACTCTAGTGATAGTACAAACGTAATGCCTTTGACTCCAGTTAGTCAAGGCATTACGTTTGTCTAGCAGAATCACTGCGCATAACTGCCTTGACCACTGGTTTCCATTCCGCTGCCATTCCACTTTTTGGCCATTCCCGTGTTTCAGCGCTCTAGCAATTTGAATTGTGTGTCCAACCCTTTCTTCCCTAGTTCAGCTGCAAGTATCCTGTTTATGAGAGTTTCTGCAGCCTTCTCTAACGTACCAAGCAAAGACCATGATTTTTTAATGAGAATCAGGGTCGCTTTTTTCATTCAGGCTGTACCGTCTTTTTTTGCCATATAATGTATGCCGAGCCCTCAGGGATTTAGGGTTTCTTTCCAACATTAGGATTTTTACTGTTTTGGCTGAAATTCGATTGGGTCCTGGGGCCTTGCGTTTCGGAAGTCTTTTTATTACCTCGCTTATCTCCTTTGACGTGGCTTCCAAGATGTTCTGAACCTAGCTGCTCACCGTTAAACGTGTCGAGCCTGGGTAGTTTGCAAGCAATGTTTTCAACTTTTTACAGCATTTCTGTTGGGAGCTGTGGCTGTAGCTTTTCTCAATGTGTCATGACCGTTTTGTAACACTTGGCCCACATATCTTTTTCCGCCTTTTCATAGACTTTCTTCTATTCCTTGTTTTAGGTACTGCGGGTTGTCATTCTAAAATCTTTTTTCGTCCTTTAAGGAGTTTCTTAGATCTCTCAGGTACCAGTCTCTTTTTCCTATACCCTTGTATACAAACCGTGTATCTTGTTGTTGGTTTTTCTGAGATTTGTAATTGGGTCACATCAGTAATACTTAGAGTGCCTGTTTGCTATTGCTTTTTGACTAGCTGTAATCGTCTCGCAAGCATCTCTCAAGACATCTACTATTTTCTTCCGTTGGATGCCACCCCCGTATCTAACATCCATTGCCCCTACTTGTATCTCAGCTCGGAACTGGTCTAAAACTATTCTGTCTGTTGGTAAATGGCTCGTAGCATGTTACTGTGCTCGTTCTTCTATTTGCCGTATTCGAAAGGGCGCATTTGACCACTTAGCAAGCCATCTTTAACTACTTTTCAGCTTCTCATTTTTCTTTCGCGTTTCTCTTCTTGGACACACGATCGATGGCACATGTTTCCCTTACTCGCCCATGAAGCGAGATAAGAAGAAGACAGTCAGACCCAATTGCTCTAGCTACTCTTTGACGTCTCGTCCTTTTGTGTTCATATGCTATTTCCCTACTTGGTTACGCGCGTTGACGTCTCCTCCCGCTAGAATGTTTTTGTTTCAGCTTTCACATATAATAAGCTGCCTACTAAATTTTTACATGGTTGCAGAATCGCCCGAATGATTAGCCCGTCATCCAGCGACTACCACCCATCCCTTTTTCCGTCTTTGGGATTTTGCGGGTCTGCCTGGTTCTACGCATCCCCTCCGTTGCCAGTGACGCAGCCGTTGGCTCTATTGCAAGTGGACGATCTTTCGTTTGGTTTTCTAATGAGCAGGACTGCCGCCGCCGCCTCCCCGTCACCACTATTGTCTCCTCTACGTTGTGGCCCTGGAACCTTCTCAAGGTGACCTGTCTGGCTTTCAGGGCTCTGGGAGTCGTAGGTGTTGAGCGGCTTTTTTCGTCTGGTCCATATAGTTTTTGCCGCCCCCCATCTCTTTTTGTTTTGTTATATGGCCAAAAGCATCCGGCTGATTGTTCGCCGACAGTGCTCAGGCAGGAGTTCCTTCTTGCCACTTCGTCTGTTTTCCTTATTGACCAGTCTGTATTTCCGGCTCTTGGTACCTTGAATGGCTTGAATTTGGTTCTTACGGTATCTTTGCTCATGAACATAATGGCTATACTTCAGGTACTCCATGCCGAGTGCACAGGTATGCCACCTTTCAGCAGTCCGCAGTTGAAGTAGCGTGGCGTTTATGTGTTTCTCTTGAGCTTGTGCTCAATAACCCCGCATCCGGGATATTGCATTTGTTCTGTTTTTTTTTTCTTTTAACGGTCTGTCTCAAAATGCCCTACCTTCGGGCACTTAAAGCAGTAAGTAGACCTTCTTGCTTAGAAGGTGTGAAAGTCAACCGATCTTTATCCTTCTGCGAGCTAACAGAGGCTCTCCTTCTGCTTCTTTGTCAAGATCGTTGTTCCCCATTTTACTGGCCACTCTTGCTTGGACCTTTCGTCCATTACTGCTTTCGAAGAAGTTAGTTTTAGCCCCTTTCTAAAGAATTGTTTGATCGTTCCTTCCTTGATATCTTTGTTGCTTTTCTCTGGTTCTCCTTGTAGATGACCTTTATATTTCTGTCGTGTAGGTGTGCTAAATTTCTTATCATTGGCTCTTTACTGCATCGGGTTCATTTTCTGACGAAGAATACTTGACCATTCTGCCTGAGCTTTCTCTTTCGTCAATTTTGACTCCTACTGATCCCGTCTGGCTCTTTATCTCTTTAATACATGAGGGCACATTTCAGTGTTCTTCCCCGGCTTTCGACTCCCCATGCACGTTTCGCTTATTTTTTTTTTTTGTTATTTTTATGAGTATTCTTATGTTTGCGTTGAGTTCTGTGTTTTCCGCAATTTTCCCTGTCCATTATGATTGTCTTGTTCCTTTTCATTTAGGTGAGGTTTTCTGTTTTTGATGCTCAGATCTAGGCCGTCGTGGTGGCACTTCAGAATACCGATCCCTGTGGCTGTATCTTTCCCAAAGTGATGACGGCTTGAAGATCAACCGTTTTATGATGTCGGTATCTCTTGACGTTATTGTCTTGGATCAGCATTGCTCTTATCTCCCCGTCCTCCATTATATTGCTTTCAAACAGCAACGCTTTTGAGGCCAGCCATCCTTGAGCTACGCTATCATTTGCTCTTTACAAATGTAAACTCCATGGGATCTTCCGGGCCCTTTGCATAGTTTTTTTTTTTAGTAAGCAGCTTGAGAACGAGGGTGCTTGTTATGCATGTATCCTTTCGTTGAGAGGTAGTGTATAATTTACGCGGTGCACTCTCATGTAGGTAAGCAAGTGTTTATGATAGTAATAAATAAATAAATGCTTTAAGTTTCACATTGCCACCTGTCTCTAAGTTTACTAGGCGAGCACCTTGTTAATAAATTTACCATAATGCACAGGTTTTCTCGACTTCGAGATAATACGCGGAGGGTCATGTCATATCACACTACCTATAAAACACAAAACGTACGCGGCAATACTTTGGGAAGTCTGGTAGTTTGTCCAAATATCACGTCAAATGTTACGAGTACCTTCTTTGATGGAAAAGTTCATTTACAGTTCATTTTCAGACAACAGATCAGAGATAATTCTTGATGACGTGTCTAATTGCTCAATTTAGTAGAAACAGGATATAAATTTGTATTATTTATACATTTGTAACTCTTTTATTCTATACAGATTTAGCAGACAAGGTACAAATAAAAAAATAAGTATTTTTAAGAAAAATTTAAAGATAAACTAAAATTATAATTGTCAAGTTTACGCTTAGTTCTTTATTATTATCTTCATGTGTTAGCACCATCAGTATAGTCATTAAGTTGTTTGGACTTCGTGTTTCTTAGAGAGAACTTATTGTTATTTGATTGAATTAAAGTTGTTTTACTTGTTGCCTAATTATGTTTATTATCTATTACAAATAATTAACATCAGATAAACTTAAAGCCTCTAGGGCCATTTTAAACCTTTTATCCTGTAATTTCTCTATATTCTTATCAAGCGTTCCATTTTATTAGAAAAAAGAGGCTTGCAGTCAGTTTATTTCACTTGTTGCAATTGCCGCGTAGAGATTGGTCGCGGAATGGCGATTGTCTATGAAAAATTTAATAAAAACCATTTTAAGCAAATTTAATTGTCTATAACAACAAAGAGGAAAATATCATCTTTTCAATGAAAACGTACTTCAACGAAGCTATTATTTAGATAAAATGCAGGCATGTGGCATATTTATGTTTTGAACACGGAAGAGTGAGTCGATAAAGGGAAAGTTTTGCTCTTTCGTAGTCCAAATCTATTGAAAATATACATTTGCCCAAAGGCTTCTACAAGATACGTGGAGAGACCCTTATATTATTAACTTGTCACGTCTGTAGAGACACGTTAACTTGTTAGAAAAGCTCTAGATAATGAAGACTATTGATCGTTTTCCTTGTCTAAATTGTTTATTGTTCTAAATGATTGTCAAAGCATGTCTTATTTTATATATATATATATATCAATCAATCAATCAATTGCAAACGTGACATTAAAAGGGATTCAGTTAGTTAACACAAATGTTTTATTCAAAAGTAGTATTCCATTTCATATTAAAGGTCGAATATAGTTACTAAAAATCAAACTTTTCATATCATTTTGTTTGAGAGAATGGTGTATCAAGTCTAGATATTCAATATATTTTTAGCGTGTTAGATACAACGTGACTAACGATTTAACTTCGTTATTAGACCCATGTATGGACAAAAATATATGCGTTAGTGTATCTTTTTCACCAGCAGCAGCAGCAGCATGCGAGGTAAGTACGTACACGTTAATACACAAAAAAGCCCCATACGATTTTGTTTTGCCTTAAATGGAACGTATCCATTAGAGGGAAAAAGTATTTTTTTTCAACTTTTCAACCGAACCTGTACATTTTAAGATTAAAATAAGAGCATGTACCAAATTGCTAGTCTCTGTCTACCTTTTTCAGGTTGTAGTCAAATAGTCGCATATGTTAGCAGCCTGCTTCGTAAACTGTAGCAACATCTGTGACAATATATGCCGTGGTGATAATAATGATATGAAGTATATGAAGTATAATATAGTAACCATCGAAAGTCGAAGTTTTCATAGAATTTTAATACTATCATTGAATGAGACAGTAATTCAAATTATGTTAATTTTATTTTATAATTACGACTAGTTTGCAGGAAAATATTTACGTCCGTATGTGGATTAATTTAAAAATCCAGTGGTCAAAAAAGTAAAATTAGTCCTATGTGAGGTGTTACCTAAAATTGATGTGTTGTCATGATGGACCGCTGCTTTCGAAGGGCAGCCATAACCGATGATCGAGGACGTTGGGAATATTTCACAAATATACACAAGTATAGGGATGAATACATTTCTAGTTTGAACAAAAAATTAGCTTGATTGTGCTATATGTACGCTCAGATTTAGTTTCAAAAATTGATCGAAATGTAGCCAATTCGCGTCAAATGTTATAACAGAACATCGGCGGCCTTTAGTGTTACTTTCTTTGTACGCTCGACTGGAAATCAAGCCAAGCTTCAATGTATAACACTAAAAGTCCATCTCACTGAAGATAAGTAACAATTTTTTCGCAAAAATTTTGATAATCTTCTGTATTCACTTCCTGTATTCAACGTTTCTAAGAGATTGATTAGTCTCCCAATATGAGGAAAACATTTATAGACAGCTGCCCCAGACATTTGCAGAGAAAAAATAATTTACTTTTATATTACCTTGTGATTACGATTTTAACTACTAACATAACTAAAAGTCCTCCCTAACTATCTTTTCTATGATGACTTCCTACAGTCATAACTGCTCCCGTCCCTGTTAATTCGTTCCATTCAAGTTAACCCTTCTTCTTTAGAAATCAAACTCCTCTTAAAGGTTCTAAGATAAATTGAATACTCCTGCCACTGGTGCCGACATCTACGCTTATGCTATGACAAGTATCGCTAGAGTACGTCGTTGGCGGAAATGTCTGCCCCGAGTCAATGATCTTCTCGATACGATGCGTACGTTGTGTTGTATAATACATAAGATGAACGTTAATAATATCCTTCAAAAAATATTCAATTAGACGAAATATTCTGTTTATTTGAACGCTTACATATACAATACCGTTTCAGTTCAATACCTACACAAAGTTCAAAGAAAGCACTTGTTTTTATAGGCTCTCTAGTTTGTGAGTACCTGTTAATTTCAAGAGATTTAATTAAGATTACCTAATCCTTGTTTGATACTGTAGAATAAGGTGAGTCAGCATTTTATAATTATCTAAAACGTAGCCTGTTTTGGTACTAAAAAAGAGAAATTACTAGACGGGCCCCGCGGATTTCGTTCCGTGCATGCTTTACGAGGCAGCGTCATTTGCTGATTTTGTCCGAAGCTTATTTTGCTACTAAATACATTTTATCTGGGTGAAGGTTAATTACGTTTATGGTAAAAGTAACTACCAACTATTCCTTGATAATAGCTAAAACCTAAAAATACAGTGTTTTATGCAATACACTTTGTGTGTTTATTAAGCACACACGTTCATGCAACATCATTCTTACAGTGCTGATATATTAGTTAGACGATATTGATGGTCGCCGTGGAATTTGACATCGTTCTCTAACATGCAGAAGTGGAAAAGAAGTTGCTGCTGTCGGTTTACGGCCAACCAAATAAACTTCTTCTCTCTCTGAGGTTAAAAAGGTACTTACATAAGTGTTCGGCTCTACCTTCTGTATAATTTTCCTAGCATGAATAAAAACAGTGCATTTATAAGAGTCTTTTTGAGTTCGATACATATAGGCCTAACGGCGATACCGGACGTAAAACTTGAAACACAGAG